GGGGGGGGGGCGCGGAGGGGAGGGAAGGCAGCTCTGGCAGCTAACAAACAGGTGCACCAGCCAGTCCGTCCGTCCTTCGGTGCAGCGCAGTGGAGCACTAATGGAGCTGGGGTGCGGCGCCTGCCGGACCCCGCAGGCAGCGGGCTGTGCTGTGTAGACCCCAGGTCAGCATCTTGAGGCTGATGGCACAGTGGTGGTTTCTGCATCTGATTCAGCAACCTTAGAGTCCCCATAAGATCAATAATTCATCGTAAACCTCCAATGAAGTTAGAAAGCTCCCGGGGGAGAGCCAGCCGTCTCCTCTGTTCTCCTGGGCCCAGCACGTGCAGGGCCCTGTTTGACCTAAGTAAATATAGCTGCCACCTGCCTGCTGCTCGGAGGCGATGGGCCTGGGCTGACCAGCAGCGCCCCCTGCCTGGCCAAGCAGGGCCCGTGTCCCAGGCCACAGGGCCCTCCAGGCTCACCAGGCGCAGCTGTATGAGGGCGCACATGCAAGAGTTGGGGCAAGGCAGAGGCTTTGTGTTTATGTGGCTCCCTCATCCCCATGTGCACAGAATCACCCCTAGGCAGGGGACAAGGATCTTCCCCGACACTGCTCAGTGAAGAGGCAGGTGGGTCTGGGGCAGGCTGACCTGAGTCCAGCCCGGTTGTATGTCCTGGAGGCTCCACCGCTGAGCAGCCTCCTGAGCCTCCTGTGCTCCGCCCGCCTCATCCGCCCAGAGCCCACCCTGTTCGTTCATTGTCTTCAGCCGCCATGTGTCAGGAACCAGCAACAACACGGCCCGTCCTCCAGAGGCTGCAGTCAGCTCCCCCTGTGTGGCTCATTGATGTTTTCCTCGCCAGCGACCAGGCCGAATGGAGCATCTCCAGCACCGTGACCCTGGGGACGCAGGACCTCAGCCACAGGGGCTCGGACTGTCTGGACTCAGGGCTGCTTCTAGGCTTGGAGACATCAATGCAGGTTTTTTCTTCAGCAGCCACCAGGCACTATCCACTCTGCAGGACCCGGGAGCAGGTGCGAGGACGGACTAAGGCCATGCTGACCTCGGACCTGTCACTAAGGCACAGAGCCCCCACCCTGGGGACTGGGACAGGCACCAGAGAGGGGTGGCACTGGGGGCGCCCTACACTGCTGGTGTCTGGATTCCCCCTTTCCCACGCTGTACTGCCTGCAGCCCTGTCTGTCGCCCACTTTGACAGCCAGGGAAGGAGTCATCGGATTTCACAAAATGGGACCTCAGGTCAGATGCTCTGCTGAGCACCCAGACCCAGGAATGCAGTATCTGCAGAGCTGGGGCCTGGGCGCAATGCTTCTGAACAAGCTCCGCATGCCCACCTGGAGCCCACGCCTGTATTTTACCCCAATTCTACCACTTTCTATGGCTGTGACCTGGACAAGTCACCTAATTTCTCCATCCCTGGGTTTCCTCATTTGATAGTAAGGGAAATGACAGCACCGGACCCGGCAGGTTGATGCGAAGACTAAATGAGTTATTATCTTTCAATCCCTTAGGCCAGGGTCTGGTGTGCTGTGGTTCTTAGAGGCGAGCTTGCCAACCAAAGTAGGGCTTGGCAGATGGAGCCACATAATACTGGCATATTCCTCTGCACTTAGCGTCTCACAGGTCTGAGCCCCAGCTTTCCTGCAACACCTGGGGACCCTGGGAGTCAGAAATTGCATCTGCAGCCTCTGTGTGCTTCCCTCCATCCCTAAGTGGGGAGTGCACAGTGCTCACCCCCCACCACATGGTTCTGCTCCGGCTCCTTCCACTGGAACCACCCATGGGTTTGCCCAACTCCCAGATCGTCTTTTTTATTCGCTCAAGAACATGCAGGGGATGTGTTGAGGAGCCTTCCAGGAGAGAGCTAATGTTATCACCCACAATCCCCTTGAGCTTCATCACCCACAGCACTCATAACTCCACAGAGAGCCTTCTATCTTGTCTTGGGTCATGTTCCACAGAACAGCCCCTGGAACAAGGATCCCATGAAAGTGCTTGCTCTGGACTGAATTTGTGCCTCCCACACTCCTGTGTGGAAACCTACCCATGCCCCACCCAATGTGATGACATTTGGAGGTGGGCCTTTGGGAGATGTTTAGGGGTAGATGAGGTCACGAGGATGGGGTCCTCATGATGGGATTAGCGCCCTTTAAGAAGGGACAGGTCTCTCCTTGCCATGTGAGGACACAGCAAGAAAGTGACCGTTTGTGGACCAGGGAGAGGCTCTTACCGGAACCAGCCCATGCTGGCACCTAATCTCACACCTCCAGGTCCAGAACTGTGAGAAGTAAACCTGTTGTTTAAGCCGCCTGCCTGTGGTCTGCTGTTGCTGCAGCCCCAGCTGACAGAGACAGCGATTTAGGAGGAAGTGTCCCTAGCCTGGGACTGGGTGGGGAAACAGACACGGGGAAGCCTTTATACCTGAAGTAAGATTTCCTCCATCACTCCGACTCTCACTTCCAGGGGTCGTCTGGGCACCATGGTACCCAGGTAAACCTGCAAAGCAAAGGAGCAGAGCCTTAATACCACTGAGGAGCCCTCCTTGAAGCTCTGCATCAATGGCCTCTGCTTGCCAGAGTATGAGGGCCACCATCCAGGGGGAAGGTGGTCAGAGCTCTCCTTGAGAGTTGGATCAAGGGCAGCTTGACCATGTGCCACCTGTTTGTGGTGGGAGAGAGAGGAAAGAGGCGAGACCCTCCAAGCACATAACCAGAAATTCTTAAAATCATATTGTGTTTTCTTTCTGTACTAAAGATATAAAAAATATAAAGATATAAAAATTATAAAGATAGTGTAGGTATTTCTATCAGAGATCCATAGGCAAGCTTGACAGTTGCTTTATGGGGGTGGAGCATGGGAATGAGATTTTCAAGCCCCTTTTTGGGTTCACTAAAGCTCACTAAGACTCCTTTTTTGCCATGGGCATATCCACCCCTAGGACCCAAAACCAGCTACATAATTAGCAGGACCCAGTGCAAAATAAGAATGTGGGGCCCACTGTCCCAATATTAAGAATTTCAAGGTGATGACAGAGCATTAAACCAAGCACAGGCCCTTCTGAGCACAGGGCCCCTGCAACTGACTGGGTTCCATGCCCAGGACACTGGTCCCACCAGGACCAGAGGGACACACCTCTCAATGCACAGCCCTTGCAAGGGTGGGTTCATGCATCACCTTTGTGCAGAGCAGAACAGTACGTGTCTAGCTTAGCTCAAATGCAGGCTGAGAAATAATGAAATTACAGCGGTCTTGGTTCTTCTTTAGAAGCTTCCACCATAAAAACTGTGGCTTTGTTGGTTTTTTTGTTTGTTTTTTAATACTCACTGAGGATATTTCTTTCATTGCTTTTCAGAGAGAGTGGAAGAGAGAGAAAGAGAGAGAAAGAGAGAGAGAAACACCGATGTGAGAGAGACACATTGATTGGTTGCCTCCCACATGCACCCTGACCTGGGGCTGGGGATCAAGCCTGCGACTGAGGTACGTGCCCTTGGCCGGAATCAAACGCGGACCCTTTAGTCCACAGGCTGACACTCTAACCACTGAGCAAACCAGCCAGGGCAAAAATTGTGGCTCTTTGGAGCTTAATGCCCATTTTTGTTTTTGTCAGAAAAGTACATTTTTTGTTAAAATAATAGCTAGATACACTAGCGAAGTTGAAGGTCTGTGTTTGAGACCTGCATTGAGAGCGTGCACCAATGTTCTGGGTTTGGTGATGGATTGTGATTGTGTGATACATCCCCTGGGGGAAGGGTGCACAGGAGCCCTCTAACTGTTTACAAGTTCTTGTGAGTCTAAAATTATTTCAGAAACACCATTTTAAAAAGCAAAGCAATAGCTCTAGAATTTGCCCATAGGCTACACACAGACATGGTGCTGGGGAGTCAGGGCTCATTTTGGCAGGAGGTATGAAATCAGTGGGCCGAAGCCATGAGCTCTTACTCTTAGGGATGATCTCTGGTGCCCCTAGGTGGGCACAAGAAAATGTATTCATTTGTGGGTGTTCTAAAAGGTGTCATGTTTGATCAGTACTAACAAATAACAACTCTGGACAACAACCAACGATAACAGTAGCTAGTTAGATAGAAGAGAAGGTTTTCACCGACTATGTGTTTGTTCCACCAGGATCACAGAATCTTCTAGAGAGGCAGCCAAAAAGGGAACAACAGTCAATCATTAGTGAGATGACCACAGCAGGGGAGTGAACTTCCATAACTCACTGGGGTCCCCAGCACAAAGTGCACTTGGTCCGATGCACATGCTGGAGGTGGTAGCATTTCACTGATATCCTAGGGGGCAAATGATTTGCAGCATATTTTAAAGTACCAGGTTACCCAATAAATAGTAAGGGACAACTCAGGGAAGGTGTGTGAATGGCTGTTTATTTAACCCGGCACTACTATTTGCAGGACACCATGAAGGGAACCCAGAGACACACCGAGAAATGGAAGCCACAGGCCTTGGTTTCCTTCCCTGTAAATGGGAAACAAGGTGCCCTCGCCCACAGGTTCTGGAAGAATGTTCGTGGGATTGAGCTTGCAGAGTGCACATCCAGGACATGGGCAGCAAATCAGAGTGAGCACTGTGCCTACAGAGCAGGCTGCTGGCATCGGATGCTTGTGGACGGTTAGGGAGGAAGGAGAGAGGAGGCCACCACCAGCCCACACATCGTGCACGAATGAGGAAGGGCGGCCCTGCTCACCGCAGCCTGGCACCTGCTCCATCGCTTATGCCAGCCCTGCACTAACACCCTGTTCCCGAGGCAGGGTCACCTACCACTTAGAGAGGGGGCAGGGTTTTAAATGACATTGAATTGCCTGGTGAGAAAACGATTCCCTTGTTTATTCTCCCGGTGACTTCAGGAGAAAGTCTCTGTCTGGGGCCAGCATGGCTTTTACGTCTCCTTTTCATGGAGACACCCGAGAGTTTGGCCGGCAGCGTTTCTACCTGCAATTACTGGGCCCTGTTCCTATTGCGTCTATTTTCCACTATACAAGTAAAACTGATTTTTTATTTACAATTGGAACATACAAGCTTCTACAGAAGTGTACTTTATTTAGATGCAAGTCCATTTAAAGAAAAATAATATTTAGAAGTGCACTAGTACCAGTGGCATATGCATGTGGCAAAGTCATGAAAGCGGCACCGACAGGTGTGGGGCGCCTGCGCTGGGGCCGCGGGATTGGGGAACCAGCCAGGCTGTCTGCCGCGCGAACCACCCCGAAGCCCCCTCTCTGCCCGTCGGCCCCCTTACCTGGGCAGCAGCTCGGCGCCTTCCTCCGCCGTGCCCGTGGGTTGGGCGGGCATCCGATGCCTGACCGCTGACCCCACCTGCGGGCACAGGGCGGAAATGAGCGCCAGGGAGCAACCTCTCCCCTAACGCGTACCTGCCCCACCCCAGGGCACGTCCAGCGCCCTGCGCTGTAAGTCGGGGNCCCTGCAGCCCTGAACCTAAGGCTCGCCTGTACAAGGCACTCGTATTGTTCTTCAGGAGCTTTCCGCGCATGGCCAGGTGCACCTGATTCCTGTTTGGAGGGACAGTTTTGTGCCCAAGCCAGCAGCAGAGGGAGACTGCTCAGGACAGGAAGTCTTATCCTGCTGATGCCAGCAGCACCGTGTGTTCTCTTTTTCATTAAGTGAGAGCCCGCTGGGTACTGCTTGAGGAAGGGTACAAATAGAAGTTTCTGTGGGGCAAGCACTGTCTTTTCTCACTAGTATGTATAATACACTCCTTACCAGATCTGAGATTGCTCAGTCAGTGCACCTGCTGAGGACACGGATGATGGATTTGCCTGGAGGCCCAGGTGGAAAACACTCAGCTGTCCTTTTTGGGGTGTATGGAGGGGGAGAGAGGGAGAATGCAAAGGTACTGGAGGTGGTTGGTATGTTTGACCGCCTGGAGTTGTAAATAGTATTTATTCTGGGATTACTCTGAATTTTAGAGCCCTGGAGAAGTATTTGAAAGCATATTACCTGGAGGAAAATAAGGGCAGGAAGTCCCTAGGTTTCTACCCGAGGGTATCCCAGCTTCAGTATTTGTTAGAAGCTTGCATTTCTCAGCCCCCCCCCGCTTCTTCTTCCTTTTCTTCCTCTTCCTCCTCCTCCTCTTCTTCCTCCTCTTCCTCCTCTTCCCCTCTTCCTCCTCCTCCTTTTCCTCCTCCTCCTCCCCTCTTCCTCCTCCTCTTCCTCCCCCTCTTCCTCTTCCTCCTCCTCTTCCTCCTCCTCCCCCTCTTCCTCTTCCTCTTCTTCTCCTCCTCCTCTCTCCCTCTTCCTCTTCCTCTTCCTCTCCTCCTCCTCCTCCTCTCTCCCTCTTCCTCTTCCTCCCTGGCCTCCCGGACCTGCGCCTGCCCGGCTCCCTGGCGGGGCTGTAGGCTGCTCCTTCCTCTGCTGCCGGTGGAGCGCGGCCGCCTTC